AGTCTGGGATAAAAACTATCCAGTTCTTTCTCAAGGTCAAATCTATCTCTGTACCAAATTTCATTACAATCAGATCAATGGTTTAGATCAAAGCGTAACAGACAGACAGACAGAGTTACTTTCAAATTTATATTATTATTATGTATTTAGTCTGCATTATCTAATTTTAATTTAAGTACTAGCTAAACATTGCTTTTCGGTTCAAATAATATCATTGTACAACTATAGTGTTCTTAACGATTCTTTTTACTATACTACTCATAAAATAAAAAAGTTTTCTTACCAAAATCGAGACTATCAATGTGTATATAATTATATTTGACAAAATAATATTTGATTGAATTTAATATATCATGCGAGCGAAGCTAGCAATAAAACCAAAATGTAATATAATTTATAATACGTGTATTGATATTACGAGTTCATTCCAATAGCCAAATGTTAAATTTATATTTTTAATATATCATGCAACATATTCACGATAAGTCGCCAGGGAAAATTTACTTTACAGAACAAATAAATCTGATATCAAATAAATGTATATTCTTTCAAATGCGATCCAATAATTTGTTCCGGGCTATTTATTATTTACCCAATGATAAAGCATTCGAATAAATGTATGGGATTCAAGGAGATTCTGAGGTACATTCAATTTGTTGTAAAGTCGTTTTGATGAAATATAAGCGGGAACGTACATTTATATGAAATTTATGTCCAAGAAATGTGTTGCTTCTGAAAAACCCTTTCGGGACACACCGTTACTAAGATCGTTAAACTATAAAACCATAGAATAAATATTATTCTCAATTCGTGAAATAAATTGTTTCTACCATTTTTATGTTGTATTGTGGATGCTGTAACACTATCTTTATTCTTAATAGTTAGCATAATTCTTATTCATTAACTAACTACAAGGTTATTGAAAAATTAATATCGACAATTAAATTTTATTATATGCCAAGAAAAACTAAGTTAGGTTTCAAAGAACTAATTGTTATAACCATAGATTTTATTTTTGACAGTTTCATTGAGAATTTCAAGTAATTTTTAATACAGGCTTAGTTTAAAAAAAAGTTTAGTGTCTCAAGTGAATTCCATTGTATGCAGCTCGTTAGATTTTTTCATTATCTTCAATATATCTTTTATCTGTGTGTCTGTGTGTGTTTTACAAACGTAGTGCGTCGTTAGCCTGCTTTGAGTTGATCTTATTTATAATGCTAACGACAAATAAAGAGGTTCATTAAGATGTCGTGTGGCGCCGCGAGTCGTTTGAACATTTTCAATATATTGAAATTGTTCCACGTGGATTTTGAAAAATAACATCGTTATTTTCCTATTTACTCATAGTGATATACTATTCCATTTAATATTTTATGAATAAATAATTACTTTATTGGTAACTGCTACTGTAGATATATTTGTGGTTATTGAGATTTTATTATATTATATAAAATATTTCTAGATTAATTTAAATGCCTATCATGGTTGTATTACTGTTGGCTGAAATTTATACCGTCTCACAAAATAAAGGGAAACCAAATATAACTATGATTATAAAACTTTAATGAATATTTTAAAATCTATATATTGGTATACCTATAAAATTTAAAATGTACAATGATAGTCAGTTGATATAATATTTGGATGTGGTATTGGCAGACAATTCACTTCATTTAAAATGGCAGGATGTGTAGTTTTGAACGTACGTATATGTTTTATTTATATTAAGAACTATGAAGGATAAGAAAATACAACAGAAAAGAGGGAGTCTCTTTTTTTGAGATGAAAATTGAAATAAGATAAAGATATTTCCATTCTCTTATCCAATAAAAAACAGCTCTAATAAGTACTTGAAACCGATATTCTCAAGAAAAGTTGTTCTACTCCTTGAAACGGTATAAAAACTTTAATAAGCTAAACTAATTAAATACACCTATAAACAATAAAATTATGTCAAATATATTCTTACAATGTAATACAAACATTATTTAAACTGTAATTATTTGTCGAAACAATGACAGCTCTGTATTTCTTGATTTCACATATGTCAATACCTTGAACTATGTATGGTACTAAACAAAGTATAGGAGAACAAGAATACATCTATAAAGTAAAGTGCATAGGTTTGTACAACCCCGCATAGGTCTACTAAAACTTTACATACATCAGTAGCACGTACATAAAATATGTGTCGTTGGAAGAGATTTACGAACGGCTAAGTACCGTTGGTCTCACGTTCGCACCATAAAACTAAGGCTTTAACATAAAAGTGTACGAAACACCATGTTGATACTATATTATTATTATTAACTCGGCTTTAGCGACGAAGATGAATATAATATAAAATTTATATAATAATATGACTTCTTCTATGACCTATAACAATTTTTATCCCACTCATATTACTCACGACATAACTCTGGTCTTTGTCAGAACCCGTCAAAAATTTTTAATAAAATTAATTAACACAACAGTTTAATTCATCATGCTAATATTAAAAAGCATCCATGCCCGCCCCGTCTCACTTTTGAATTCCCAAACGTCATAAACTAGAAATTAAAATTGAAATAAAAGCCACACGAAATCCTTGTAAAATTGAGACGGAATTACACGGTTCCACCAATGTACCAGTGATTCGGGTCGGGTACGAATAAAAAAATATAAAAAACACATATCGCCCGAAAGCCGACAACTTCCAAATTTTGTTCGTTTTTCATTTGCTTTTTGCTTTTTTCCTGGGTTGCCAGCTACCGGCATCGCGATGTTGCTAGGTGTTTAAAAGTTGATGCTTTTTTAAACTTTTCGTCTGTTTTAAAGTTAACAAAGGTTTTATATATATTTATGGAAGTGTGATAATGAATTTAAAAATATGAATCGTAAAGTCGACATTAATTTTTAATGTAATTTTTATCTTTGAACTATTATTTTAGATCTACAATTATAAAATGTTGCAAGTTTTGCTAGTAGATTTAAGATATTATTTCAAGAAGGTGTTAGTCTTATTATAAGACTAAAATGTAAAAGATATATTTCTAGTAAAACAAATATAAAGCACCGCGTTAATACTACAATATCACAAGAAGTTAAACAATTCTTTCGTCATTGAACATCGTCATTGATCTGTTCGCAGCTTCTTTATATTTTCTCTATTTACTTGTACTACGGTTGCCAGTGAATTCAATAGAAATTTTTAAGAGGCTTCTTTGGGCTTAGAATTGTTCTTTCACGAAGGAAAAAATAAATACTTATTTCCATCAGGTTCGTTTGTTGAATAAAAAATCCGAGAACATTTTTTTTTTTCAATTTACTTATAGCGATTCATATAAAACAATTATTATTTTTATTATTATTTCAAAAATTAAAAAGCTTTAAGAATATACTCGATATATACCATTAATTAGGAAATCATTATCGGAGATAGTTATACTAAAGCAAAATCTGAAATCTAGACTTCAAATGGGGCATAAAATAATGAGAACCTAGATATAATTTCGTTTAAGTCCTGAATGAAGCTGAGAAATTTTTAAATCTTGTTTAAAAGTTAAATATAAAAATAATGGTCAAAATTAAAAATCACCAAAATATTAATTCAAGAAATCTGTTTAAATTAATATTATAGTTACAAATATACCTATATTTTAAATATGATCTTTTCCGATATTAAACATCATCCATAAATATACGACCAAAGAGGCTAATTTGAAACTTGGAACGTTTATGTTATAAAAATTTTCATAATACCAACCGCAGCTGATGCTGTATTAAATTTTAAATATCGAAAGCTCGTCCAACGTTCAATTTGTCGTGAAATCTCTGTCGTGACAACTTAAGGTACGTACACAAGATAAATCATTTGTCATAATTAAATTTATATTTTTTATACCACATTTTTCATTGATCTGAACGATATTCACGATGTATTAAAGTACATTACATTCGTAATATAACGTCGAGAATGTATATGACTGTTTTTTATCGCTTCTGTACAATTCTTGATTCTTTACTGTTTTTTTACACCTACGAGCTTCTTAACGATATTATGTAATAAAACTACTTGCGCTCACAAGAAATAACTGTACGCCAATAAAAAAATTCCAATCATACATAATAAAAAAGGAATTAACTTTGAACATTGCAATTTTAAATGAAGAGAAAAAAGTATATTAAATCTAATAAAATTGTAATAACATCAGAAATCTTGTAATAAAAAATCTATCACACCATTTTACTCCGACTCCATAAAATTCGAATGAAGAAACTTATCAAAGGAAATTTTCTCATGTTCTACGTGAAGCAGAAGCCATCAAAATTCGAGGCAGTTTTCCTTGACTGAGATATTGTGAGATACCTTATATTAAAATGTAATAAAATTCCCATCGCTAATATAATTTCGTGGTCCAAACGTAAGGTTCGGAGTTCACAGGCTGACATTTTTATGATTTTATAGGATATAAATTTGTTTTATAGGAGCATTTTATACAACTATTACTGGTGGAGGAATTTTTGAAACTTGTTTTAAATTTCTACTCATATCATATCCGTATTTATGACATAGTTTTATGAGTTTTGACTTGTTTGTAATAGTGTGGTGTATTATTTTAAATATTCTTGCTATTAATAACTATTAAAAAAATATCACGATGATTTGTTAAATTATTGTTCTCTTCCTTATTTTTACTGATATTCAAATTATAATTGTATGTCTAATGAATGTTTTTTTTCTGGCTTATTAAAATACTTGTCCTAGTGTTTGTTTAATATAAAAAATTTACGAATTTAATAAAAGTCTGTTCCGGCCCTAAGGCGAGCGGGAGACGCGCGGCGGCGCTGTCGGCAATCAATCGATACCGCGTTGCCTGGCAACGGTCATGTTGCAAAATAAACAATCACAATCGAGCCTCCGAGCAAATTTACTCTCTTATTTTATTACTTGTGTCAACATTTTAGATCGATATTATCCGATTATTTACTCGAGAATGTTTTTCAACTAAAGTTTGATAATGGTGCTGTTACCGCCGTGTACTCCCGATATTTGCGGCAAGGACTTTAGGAATTCCTTGAAGAAGCCGAGCCCTAACTACCCGTATGGGGACAAGGCTAAGAAATGCCGGGTCGTTCCGGCCTTTACGATACAAGCTATGCAGAAAAACACCAAAGTTATGCCTCCGCCGAAGTGTGGCGTCTACGATCCTTTGCCTCCGAAGCCGACCATGTTCAGGAGATGCTACCAAAGGGGCGAGTTCCCAGTGTCTATAGAGTTCACTTCGGTCGGAAAACGGCTGACATGGAAGGTAAAAGCTTTATGTATTTTAATTTAACGCCTTTGTTGGTTGAATTTAAGAGATTATTGATTAGCTTAAATTCTTAAAGCTGTGTCAAATGTTGATTTAATTAAAATATAAAAGCAATATCTTGCTGTTTAATGTTATTATGTTATGCGTAGATTTTAACCTGTTTATAATTTTAGGTACCGATAGAAAAGCTGGATTTCCATCACTACCTTCCTATGTTCTTTGACGGGCTCGCTGAGGGTACATATCCCTACAACTTCATAGTGGAACGTGGGATTAATGATCTTGTCACCAAAGGATCGTACAAGATTCTACCAGTCGTGCCACAACTCATTATACCTATTAAAAGTAAGCAATTAATTTGACTACAGTGCTGTTCTTATTGTGAAATAAAATGAATTAAGCAAATAAAAAGAAAATAAGATAAGGTGTTAAAGCATTTTCTAAAGAAGTGACGAGGAATTTTCGGAATGTTTATTATTTAAAGAGATGATTCAAACGTCACGGAACCTGATACGTCTCAGTCAGCTGAAATAACGTCTGGGAGAATATAATCAAATTCAGAGTAATACAGATTAAATGTGTAAAACGATAGCACGGTCCTAGATTTCGTTTAGCTTTTAATGCATGTAGAGGGTTCCTTAAATTAATAAAAATAAAATCTAGAAATATGAACGTCACAATACAATACAATCTACATTTCCCAGATGCTCTCGCAACAAAGCGGCCCTCGGTGATCTGCCATGCTCTAACATGCATTCAGATGATTGTGACGGGCAGCGACAGGGTCGGCGAAGCACTCGTCCCATACTACAGACAGATATTACCAACGCTCAATTTATTCAAGGACAGAAACCGTATGTATTGTATCGGCTATTGATTTGTGTCTTATGTTCACGTGTAATACATTTCGCCGAATCGACTGGCGATATAATTGATGAGTGGTCCCCAACCGTGTTATAATTTAGAGCTCCATCGCTTAGTTATTTATTCGCGTAGTTGTTACAAAATATCGTTTTATATTTATGCCATCAATCATGACGAGTATCAAATTGACGGCCATGACGTCATATTGTTTTCAGTCTAATAGACTCGTTGGGGCGCTCGAGTAGATTAATTATATGTCGTCGGGATAACGTTGCGAATTTCAGGCGTCACGCTTCGGCTTGACACCCGACCACATTGTTACGAGAATTCTACGAGTTCCAAGCGTGTTACCTTCGTTTTGTTGACTTGCGACTGTAGGTTTTGTCTCTTCCAGGGCCTGGAGGGGTGACGTAATCTTTGACTTTTTTTATATAAATATAAATGTGTTTAATAGTTTTTATTTCGGACATACATAGAAGTTTTATTTTATAAAAACTTATTAAAAAATTTAACTTAGTTTTTCGGGTAACTAAGTGATTTTATAATTTTATTTTTGCATTTTCTCGACGTTTCAATTATTTTACAGTAACTGTGATCACGCGCAGACGAGATGAAAGTGTGTAACTATACAGAAGTGGTCACAATAAAACAGTTTCATTATTAATGTGTTCACGTGACAATTTTAGACACCATTATTAGTAAAATAATTGGTGAGATATAATAAAATAAATTGTGGGAGCAGAAGAAATGATTTAGTATTAGTTCACGTAAGAAGTATGTAATTTCACGTTGCCTAAAAATGTTTGTTACACGCGTTTGGAATTAGCGTTGAAAAATACGGTCTATTAAATTATTGTTATAAATCACGACACAAACTAAAGTATAACATAATCTTATTGCGTATAATTTACGTACATAATTAAATTATTTTATTGCGGTTGAAGCAAAATTACAGCATTGAAATTCTAACACAACATTCTTAATGTAAACATCCTTTGAAGCAAGGATCTCGGTGTGTTTGAGCTCTGCGTCAGTTGTGTCGCAAGTCTGTGTTACTTCACGCCTTCTCATTCCTCGCGTTGCCAAATAGTTGCGGTTGAACGCGGTGTCTTCGTTGTCGTTTTACTGGGTTTATTTTGTTGTGGAAACGTTCTGCAAATTACATCTCAGTGTTTGTAACAACGAGCCCTGCTAAATCACTAAGAGCCTGAAAGTGCCTTTTTAGTTGGAGCTAGGTGTAAAGCACGCTTTTTGCCTTTGTTCAAACCAAATGTAAAAATACAAAGCAAGCTCCCTCGTCCTCTGTAATGTTAATAACTATTTTATATTTTAAAATAACACAAAATGTTTTCTAGTTTTTGATATAAATTAAAATAGCGTTCCACTTTTATTTTGTCTCTCTTTACGTGCTCTGATAGAATGTTAACGTAATTAACCACTCATGTTTCAACTAAATATTTTAGAAAAAACTGGTCATATATATTTTATATGAAGAAAAAAATATATTTTATTTATTAAATATTTTCAAATGTAACTTATAATTCAATGTAAAAAAATCAATTTCTCAAATCGAAAATATTTCGACATACTACATATTAGGATTTAATTTCCAATATTGTAGGTATAATATTAGAATTGTAATATTGTTGTTTACGCGAATTTTTACCTATGTATAATTAGAGCAATTAAAGTAATCTAGTGTTGATGTTGACAGGTAACATGGGCTCCGGTATAGATCACACGACAACTCGCGGGGAGAATGTCGCTGATATGATAGAGGACACCCTTCAGATCCTAGAGAGGTACGGCGGGCCGGACGCCTTCATCAACATCAAGTACATGATACCGACATACGAGTCCTGTGTGTTGAACTAGATGTTATGAAGCTCTGTGCCGTTAATACTAACACATTTAGCTTAAAACATTGCAATATTCAATATAATTAGCACTATACAATATTTCATGAACCTTAAAATAAAATGAACAAATTAGAGCGATGAATAGAGTAATTAAATTATTTTGATTTATTATTTACAAAGTTGGCACTACTTTTGTATCGTTTTTTATTCCAAATTAGATACGTTTTATGTGTTATATAAAAACAAGGCTAAGTGCTCGTGGCAATTAGGCATTCAGACATAATGTCTTCTATATTTACGTCACATGTTCCCTTAATAGAATATTCGCTTTACAATAGCATATAATAACATTTGCATAATTTGGTTCATTGTTACCATGGTAGCTTATTTGTTTATATAATTGTTATAAACATATATCATTTGTTATATTATATTGTTAATTTACTGAAGTTTTAGGATGTTTTGTTCTTGTTTTGTTACTTTTTTACATAATTTGTATAAAAATTTAATTTAGCTCCTACCAAATTAATGTAGCGCGGCTTAAAGATGGATCGCTTAGACGCCACAAGTTGAATTAAAATTCCGCGCATTAAGAATTTCTAAGTGGATGTGCTTCTAATGAAATGTGAATGTCATCGGTCCATATATTGTGATACTCATTATGTTAATATATTTTTAATGTTGTCTTGTTTTTATTATTGTTTCATATTCACAAATTTCTTTTGTTGCATTTTATCAATAAATGTGTTTGCTTATACATGTGTTTTCGTGTACATATTGACATTTTGTATAAAGTATTGCAACATTATTGAAAACAGTATTTCCAACTAAACCTAAACCTTTAAACCCTTTACGAATAACTTAAGAATGTTTGGATTAAATTAATCTACTGTTAAGTCAATGGTGGCCTAGTGGTTAAAAAGCCCGCATCTCAAGCATGAGGGCGTGGGTTCGATCCTGTCCCTGGCAATTACCAATGTGATTTTTCCGAGTCATAGGTACTTTCTAAGAGTATTTAGACGTTACTGATTAATGCATTCCCAAAAGAGGGTTAATATCAGGCAGGCGGCCGGTCGTAAAAACAATTCACGACATGTAAGGCAGACCCTGGCTAAAGCTGGGAAATTGCCAGGTAGAAGAAGTCCTACATACAATTAAATCGGAGTGAAGTATCTTTGAAAATGAATTGCTAATGTATAGACAAGTAACTTATCTCCGAGTTATCAGATTGTTAAATTATAATAATCTAAATATAGTTACCGTATTACAAACACGGTCCATTATGACCTCTTGGGACTCACCTCGTCAAGTCAATATTTGGATCAAAGCGATTTGCATGCTCTGGGGCCGCGTGTCGCAATGCATGCATGCAATTTGCATTACAAGTTACTTTAGTTTCGAATGTTATACGACGAGATGCGGTAAACATAATTGACAATCACAAAATTACAAATTGAATTCATAATCGTTTTGGTGCTGTATTATATTGTGTAATTTTGAAACATTGATTATTCAAGATACACTCGTATGTCTGAGGAATATGTAATAAAAACACCATAAGAATACTCATCGCTTATCATATGAATGACATAAGATAATATAACATGAAAATTGGTTTTATAATACAAGCATAGAATAAGGTAACATCAAAGCACTTCCAGTGCTACTCCACTCGAAGAGAATATGAGATCTTATGAGATGCTTCACTTTATTTCATATTAAACTATAACCAGAGATGAATGAACTCTATACGCGTAAATAAAATAAAAAATTTCGAAATATTGCGTACGACAATTCTTTGTTATGTGATAGATATTTAAAGAAATATTGTATTCCTTGCCTTTTAAGAATAGTTTCAGTGATTATTAATATACAATTATTTTGTATAGAACTACAAAAATAATAGTTGTATGTTATACAGAAAAGTATTAGAGAAGATGCATATTTATGATATAGTACTGGTGACTATCAGTAAAGTGAGCTGAGGTAAATATTAATATAAATGGTGCGGACCAAAGGCTTTGGAGTACATTTATCAGTTGTTCGCAGACGTTGGTAGGGATGAGCGACAACTTTTAGTCGACTAACATTTATTACAGGGGTGGCGTGATGTAAACTGTAAAGTGGCTCCATCCAGGTCCATGGAGATATCTTCAAACATTACCAAGATGAATACCGGTCGTGTAGAATTAAAATAATAATCACAATGATACTACAATCAAGCTGACTTCTGTAAAATTTTATTTCGTATATTAAATTAATAGATGGATTAACAAGGTGTCCTTTAATATATTTGGTACATCAGTCACATCCAGAGCGGCTGCATCCTAGTACAACGTCTCCAGACTCGAATAATTTGTCACAAGAACAATCAAGACGGTAATTTTTTTCGAAGATGCGCTTTAAAACTGTTTCAGTCGGGCTTAAGATCTAATTTTGCTTCAAATAAATATATTTTTACATTTTATCGACATTATTCTTCACAGCTACTTTAACTTTTATAGGCGTTTAAATAAAATACTCGTATCATCTAAACAATAATGAAACAATCGTCAAGGTTCTTCTAACTTATTATATTATTTTATGTTCATGAAATCAGTGACATAAATAAAATAAAAGAAATTGTAAACGGGCACCGAGAAATAAAAATACAGCGAACGACTTAGCGATTTCCGCTAAATTATATTTTTGATTGACTTTTAAATTGGTTTAGATCAAAGCAGTTTTTTTTTATCGAGGTAATATTTTGTTTTGCATCAAACGAAATTAGCTTTAAATCGATATTTCTGCTCACCTGAGTAAAGATGATTTGTATAATAATATTAGTTTTATTCTGTGGATTTTCTTGGAAATTTATTGTATAGACACATACTTCTATGTATATATGTATCCTTTTCAGCTTTTAGTTCAAATATCATACAAGGCAGTTTTACTACAATCAACTTTATGCACATTTTCGTTACTATAAACTTTATACGTAAAGTTTTAAAGGTGTACTCACTGTAAGGGTTTCCCTGGTGTGTGTGTGTTTGTTTGTATGTGTATATCGATCTCATTCATATTCAAAGCTCAACTTTGATACTCGCCTGTGTTGCTTTTAACTGACTATAAGTTCAATAATAGGCGACTTAGTAATAACATTAGCAAATGAGTATAATATACACATCGTTGTATAAAAACATAAATAAATTTAGATATTACTTAGACGGTTATTTGAGTAATTTATTATGCATTTATATTGTTTTCTTTAGGTTGAAGTTTCTAAAATAATTCAAATAATTAGGATATTTCTCTTTAGAATTAAGATATATTTATATTTTTTATAGATTGGACTGACTAATATATACGTATGTTTATGTAACAAAACTTTGTGAACTTTATGACAAATCAATGTCATTCAATAATTTATATCTATTAATTTATTTGTAAATAAATCTATTCTGGAAATATCCTACAAAGACAAGACAATAACAAACTTATAGCAAACTTGGAAACACTATTACATAATCGGAACCCCATCGATAGTTAATGTAAGGAAAACTGATAATAACGAAATATCGTTGTAAATAATATATAAATATTTTCAATACAAGACCAAAGTGTCATAACTAACCCCCAAAAAGCACTAAGCTACTATCTCCCTTTCCACGCAATAAATGCTCTCAGAAAAATTGCAGCGATTAATATCGTAGGGCGACTGTAATGCCATATTTTTCATCATTATGTGCTCATTAAAAGAAAGGCACTGCGCAATCGGATCATGGTAGAAAGATTTCAGACGGAGGTATTATTCAGTCTGACGTTTTAATATTCCTTTTTTATAGATACCTAATAATATTTGATTCCGAAAACTTGGCGTCGCATTTGTCGTATATGTATTATTATTTCTATGTACAATGTCGCAAATACTCTTATTATTATCTAGAATACAACGTCGATATAAGAATTTATAAGGAAAATTTATTTTAGTCATTATTCAACAAAAAAAGTATAATAATAAATTTCCAAAGAACTCGAAAACACTACCATTCAGACGAGCGTTTTGTTTTCAACACAAATAAAAGAAAAGCTTCCCGCCGATTGAATTGCAATGATCAATTTTCAATAGAACGTGAGAAATACGATCATTTTTGAGCTTCCATTCGCTAATAGACATACGTGTATTAAAACCTCGATTGGTAGCGTCAGCGTATTCGGAGCTTCTGCGCTAAATAAAAGTAGTTTTTCAATATGAGTTACGAACACTTTTTAAAGATTTAAAACATTTTGTATTATTGAATTTCATAAACGTTTAATATACATAATTTGTATTATATATCCTCTCTTTATTTTTGTTCCCTTGCTTTGTTTTCTTTTTTTTTACTATTTAAACTGCATTACCGCAAACAACTCACTTAAACTGATTACGTCTTTAAACAATATGACATTACGATAATTGTAATATGAATATTACGTTTTATATAAATAATTAATTATCATCATTACCATTACCAACAAAATAAACGATAGTCATTTTGATTCATAAAAATTATGGAACTTAAACATCAAATAAAATCAAGAAGACAAAAATATAGTCTATAAGATTAATATAAATTACGTAAGAACCAATAAAATCATTAATTTTAAAATGTTAGGAGAACATCGGCTTATATTCAATAACAAATGAAAATATTCATAATTGCTTGTTATTCATACTAATCCTCTTCAGTACTCGACTAAACGAGCCGGTAGAAATTAAAACGATTCAAATATGAAAACACTCAAATTAATCCCCTATTATTAAACAGTGTAGTAACTTTTTGATATTTATTTTCATTTTACAGTTATAAGCCGTGGAGCATTCGAGCGTGAAACACGATAAATATGAAAAAAAAAATCTGCTCAGATTAACTGTTGTTGTTACATTTAATGAACGGAGTTCACATGATCATACCCATCACGTGCTTCATACCTTGTTAAATACAGCTTGTTAAATTAATTAAAATGAAATTATTTTGTACTACAAACTCATATATT